CGCCAGTCCCCTCACAGCCCCCCCGGGCCCGGCGCGCTGCCCGCCTCCAGCCACACCGCCCTCCCAGGCCTCTCCGCGGTAAGTCCACCAAAGAGAACGTTTAATACTTAAACTGAAGTATTTACGTACCGAGAAGCTGCCATTAATTTCTTTTTAAACCCATACAAAGCCCGCGAAGGTGCGGTTTCTACCGCCGCGGCGCTCGGCGGGACGCTGAGGTAAATCCCTCACGCCCCTGCACGAGCCGCCGTAATGGAGGCCGGGCCGGGCACACCACCTGAGGGCACCGAGCCCGGGCGAGCCCCGGCCACCCGAAACCCCGCCGTGGGGGCTGACAGCACCCACCTCCCCCCCATCTCCATCCCCGGCTCCCCGCGGCGGTCACCGCTCTCCTCAGCGCCGGGTATGACACCGGCGCTCCCGGCCGCCTTGAAATGGAGGCCGGTTGGGCGGCCGCCAAGGCGCCGCGCCCGCAGGTACGGCCGCACCTCGCCGCCGGGGCCTGCCCCGCTCCCCGCCGCCGGGGGGAAAGGAACCCCGGCCGGGATGGGGGGGGACGAGCGGCGAGAGTTGTCTCACTCCGGCCGGTACCTACCACCTCGGCCAGCTTGATCCTGCCGAAGGTGCCCCGCAGGTAGTCCAGGTCGCAGCGGAGGCCGCCCAGCCCGCGGCGCTGGCTGACGGGCTCGGTGGTGGGCTGGTAGGGGCTGCTGGCCCCCGAGATCATGGAGGTGCTGGACGCCTCCCCGTCGAAGCCCTCCAGGTCATCGCCGTTCCTCATGGCGCCGCCGGTGCTGCGGACGGGGCGGGGGGGAAGGCTTGGGCCGCGGAGCTCCGGCCCCGGCCGCGCCGAGCTCACCTAGCGGAGCATGGCTGCCCCGGTCCCGCCTCAGGCGGGGCGGCGCGGGGAGGGCGGCATGCTGCGGGGCGGTGCGGGGGAGGAGAAGGAGAGGGAGGAGGAGGCGGCGGAGGGACCGGGCGGGCCGGGCTGTCGCTGGGACCGGGCCGCCCTCAGCCCCCTCGGCGGCACGGCCAGCCCCACCGCTCGCTCCCGGTGCCGCTGCCGGCAGGGCGGCTTGGGCTCCGACCGGGGAACGCCGCCGCTCCGCCCCCCTGCGCCCAGCGGAAAGGGCGGGGAGAGACCGCCCCGATCCGCCGCCCCGAACCCCGGTTCGCCGCCCCCGGCCCCGCCACCTGCCCCGGGGAGCTTTGGGGGGCGGCCGTCCTTACCCCCGCGGCGGGGAGACCCCGGGAGGAACGAAAGGTCCTGGCTTCGGGGGGTTGTGGAGCGCGTCGGTGTTCGCACCGGGAGGGTTTGAACCGTGTCCGTAATCGAGCCTGGCCCCCGGGATCCACGGAGCGGCTCACGGCGCCCGGAGTCACCCCTCGGGCTGTTCCACGGGTGTCGGAGGGGTGGGAACCCCCAGGGTGTCATAGAGTCATAGAATGATTCAGGTTGGAAGAGACCCTTGGGATCATCGAGTCCAACCATCTCCCCTACTCTACAGAGTCCTCCCCTACACCATGTCCCTCAGCACTGCATCTCAACGGCCCTTAAACACAGCCAGGGATGGGGACTCCACCACCTCCCTGGGCAGCCTGTTCCAATGCCCGACCACTCTTTCGGTGAAAAATTCTTTCCTAACGTTCAATCTAAACCTACCCTGTTGGAGCTTGAAGCCGTTCCCTCTCGTTCTATTGTTAATTACCTGTGAGAAGAGACCAGCACCAACCTCTCTACAGTGTCCTTTCACGTAGTTGTAGAGAGTGATGAGGTCTCCCCTCAGCCTCTTCCTCAAACTAAACAGTCCCAACTCCCTCAGCCGCCCCTCATACGATTTGTTTTCCAGCCCCCTCACCAGCTTCGTTGCCCTCCTCTGCACTCGCTCCAGCACCTCCAGATCTCTCTTGTATTGAGGTGCCCAAAACTGGACACAACACTCGAGGTGTGGCCTCACCAGTGCCGAGTACAGGGGGACAATCACCTCCCTACTTCTGCTGGTCACACTATTTTTGATACAAGCCAGAATGTGTCCTTCCATCAGTCTTGAATTACACTTTACAGCCTTTCTTAAAGTTCTCCAAGTAAACAATTACTTTCGACCAGCCCTGAATCACTTGTTGTGATGTATCTCTTGCTGTGTCACCATACACAAGGAGGATTCACAACCTCCTCTGGCAAATACAGGTGTAGGAACCGTGGCTGGAGAAGGGTGTTTAAGGTGGAGAGGGGCAGACAGGCTGCTGCGTGCCACCCACCGAGCTGAAAGGCAAGGGGTTGGTGTCGCATCCCGTCATCTGCCATCTTCACCAGCCAGATCCCTGCTCCTGTTCCTATCACTGTCAGGCTACCCCGTTCTCTCCTCTTTCACATCACCAGTACAGGACTTTCACATGTATCAATTCTTCCAGCATCTTCCTTGGGCCTCCAAGAGTCTCTCTTACAGTTACTCTGTTTTCCATGAACACTGTGGATTATCAAGCTTGTGATTTCCTTTCCAGTCACCTTTGCGTTTTGCTTCACCTCTCCCTTCCAGTTCTCTTGAAGCCCCTTTAATCCTTCCTCTTTTAGAGGGTTCTGCCCAGTACCACGTGATTTTTAATTTCAAGAGATCTTTCTTCTTTCCTTTGGCGTTTAGAGTAGACTCTAAGAAGTAAGGCCAAAGAGACGGGGTCAGAAAGCACACCAGGAACCCTGGGTGGAGAAAGAGTGGGGTTTTTGTCTACCTCAAGCAGTCATTGCTTGGTTAACCGGAGGGATCATTGCAGACCATAGAAGTCTTCTCATAGCTGCTCAGGTACCCCCTGGTGCTGGGAGAGGCTGATATTCTCAGGCAAGATGAAGAGTTAGCAAACATGCTAAGAAACAAAACCAATCCCCTTTGGTGAAGGGCAAATGCCAGGAAAAGGGAAAAAAAAATAATGAGAAAAAAACCCATGAGCATGGCATGGAGAAGGATGGAAACTCTCTTGCTTGGGTCACATGAAATTTGCCGAACTGTGAAATCATAAATGTAAGGGGGAAATCCTGCATTGGCACTGGGCTGGCCTTGATGGACTAATAGATTTTTACAGTCTCTTATTTCAGTTCTTGTGTAACTCCAGGGAAATCAGAAGTCTCACACAGCTCCTTTCCTTGCAGGAGTATGATAGGTTGGTGGCTGCCACTTCCGAGAGCTTCTCTGAATTCTTTCTAACTCAAGGCTCCCCAACTGTTTCAGGAATGTGGGTTATCCACATTTACCTACAGAGACATCTAACATTTATTTTGAGGGATTGCTGTGGCAGTTCTAGAAAACTAACCTGAGCTAACTAATGAAAACATTTCTGAAACATCCAGTGAACATTATTTTGAATCTTTTGCAGTTCTGACCCAAACACATCAGTGTGTTGAAGGGGAATGAAAAGGTGGCATTGCAGAAGGCAAATGAAGGACAAAGGGAGGGATGGTTGAGTAATTTAAGAAAAAGGCCCGGTGATAAGAGATCTTGATTCTGGTTTTTGGCCACTGCCTCTGGCACAGCCTTCAGCAAACTCCTTCATAGCTTAGTGGAGGACGCAAAGTTTAAATGCACTTGCAATCAGTAGAACCCCTCTGTCCTTCAGCGAGCTGACTGCCTGGGCAGTGAAAGTGCAGTGAGAGCTCTCTCTGCTCCATAGGAAGCGTTATTTGAACAGTTCTGAGGCATGTTTTCAGTGAGCCCGTTGTTGATGCCACTGGCTGGGGTTTCACAGCCATTCTGGGCAGTGCCCGGGGTATGGGCATCGCCGTCGTGCCCCTCTCGGCACCGTGCTCCGTATGGCCACCCCCCCTGGCCGTAAGGGGCCCTGTGCCAACACCAAGCCTTACTGGGGGATTTTCTGGCATCCTCCTGGACGGGTGGGTGGGCTGCAGGGACTTGGCAAGGCCTCCCGAGGTTGCTGCCAGCACTTAACAAAGGAATCCTTTACACACATTCTTGCCTGATACGGCACCTTTTCAGCCTGCTCTGGAGCACTTGAAAGGAAGAAGAAAAAAAAAAAAAAGTCTGCGTTTAATATGTAAATAAAAGTATTGATCCGGTAAAAAGGTCACCGCAGGCAGATCACGTTGCTTTCAGATAACTTTGTTTTTACAAGTTTATAAGCTTCCCGAGCACAGGCTGCCATTCCATCCTGTGGCCACACAGCAAGACCAGGGAACTGGGGAACCAGGTCAGTGACCAGCCCTGAAGACACCACCACGGCATCAAGCTAATGAGATCACAGAATTCATCAGAGAGGACTTCATATCCGGCTAAAATACGGCTGAATGGTGAAAACAAGGAAGAGACAGCACAGAGGGGAGGAAATCCAAGTATGCTATTCATAGACACGATAATTACATGATCAAAGAGCTGTGTTTTTACAGAACAGTTAAGCCAGCTTTGATGGAATTAAAAATTCCCCATCAGAAAGAATCTCCAGGACAGTGGTGAGAAATGAAAACCAACCAGTGATTTAGGTGTAAAAAGCAGTGGAAAGTGAATCTTAAATATTATCTCTGATCAAACTGAACCAAATAACCCTCATCTCTCCGCTTTCATCTCAGCCATTCATACAGCCTTTAATAAACTTGTGAAAGTCTTGGGGGTTCATGTCATTAAGCACATTTAAGTTTTATTTTGAAGATTAAAGGGTGTGATCCTGTTGCAACTGAATAGGAAAAATCAACTCAAAACCAGATTTTGAAAGCTGCGTTTATGTACCTTTAACACACTTAAAAGTATTTTAATGTTTATACATAAAATTTTGTAGATCTGAATGGTGCTTAAACGCAGTTAAGAGTGCAAAAGGCATTAGAATCCTAACAGGAAAGTTACATCTGTGCAAGTACCTGAAAAGAGCCGAGAGGTTCTTTAAGAAAAGGCTCCGGTATTTCCACATGACCTACCAAAGGGAAGGAGCACTGGTGAGCTGCCAAATTCCAAGAGAGCTGAGCGGTGATTAGAGTTTAACTCTGGCATCAGAGAGGAGGCTTTTTTTTTCCCCTTGAATTTCTCAATGTAAAAAATACTGAAGCTTTTTTCTCAACTTTTCAGTTGGAGGAAAAATTAAAAAAAAAAAAAAAAGACACAACCCAAACCCCACCCCACCCTAAAAAGCTAATAAAGTACTTGCTTTAGGAAAACATCTGGATTTTTGAAGTGCCTCGGTGCAGTAGGTTGTGTGTTTCCCCAGAGGCATGCACACTGATTCCGTGGCCGTGAGCAGCATGGGAAGCAGGCAAATCGTTTTGCTGAGTCAGAGCTGGGAATTAATGCCCCAGGAATAAGCTGCCAGTTCTGACACAGACTTCAAGCAGAAGAAAAGCTGGTCAGAAGGATGAGGAGGTCCTGCAGTTATCTCCAGCTGCTGCTGAAGGGCACGGCGAGTCCTGCATCTACAATGACTCCTCCTTGGCCACGTCCATCCACAGCTGAACAGTCTCCCAGGGTAAGGCCACTCAGCACAAAGGCACCTCGGGGACAGTAAAGGGAGCTGAACTCCTCACCTGGGACTCAAAGCAGAGTCACATCGACCAAGGAAAGTACCCAGCACAGCAGAGAGGAGGATGGAAAGAAGCTCATCTGAAGGGCAACCTGTAAGAGGTTCTTCTGCTGACTAGCCGGAGGAGTTTCACGGGCCAAGGTCTCAGATGTGAGATTTGGTGGGGGTATTTCAGGTGCACGCTGACAGAGCACAGCGAGCTGCTCTCCTGCCTTTTCCTCTGGTTAAAAGCTCAGATTTGTGCATCTCCAGTGGCAGAAATGGTTAGTGAACCCTATTCCTGCCCTGCATTCCCATTATAACGTCAGGCTCTGCAGGCTTTCAACACCATCACCTCTGTTCCAGCCCTCAAGCTTTGGAAAATAGACACCACAGCCCTGGAAGGCCTGACGGGCCTCATACACGCGTGTGACAGTCACATCCACCTCCAGCACGAGCCCTGTGGGGCAATCACCAGGGCTCACGGCTGGGACCAGAAGGCAGCGGTGGCTGGAGGTCACCATAGGACCTGTCCCAAGGAGCTGGATGGGGTTGGCTTCACCTCTGAAGGGGACAGATAAAAGTGTGACTCCTGGAATTGCACCAGCACTATCAGGAAACAGCGTTTCCCCTTCAAAACCAAAACAAAAATATCCCCTAAAAAAATCCCAACCCCGAGAAAGGCAACACCACCAAGAAAATTAGTTGGGCTGTAACTGTGCAGAGCCAGGAACGTGACTCTGTGTGTTAGTAACAACGAGCCATTCACAGAGCAGCCTGTATTTTTACTCCCAAATTAGAGGTTGACATCCCAATTAGTGTCGTCTCTTGGTCCATCTCCCCATCATTCAGCACGATGGAGCAGCCGCTGACTCCTTTCTCCTCCAAAACCTTTCCAGGACATCCACGAGTGCCAGAGAGGGGTCACCTCGCAGCCACCTCCGGGCTGAAGGGCAGCAGACATCCTACGTAGCAGGGAGGTGAAATTAATTTCTATTAAAAAAAGAAAAAAACTAGCAGCAAAGCCTCATACGCTTCAGGAAAGTGCCAGCAGCCCCTGACCGGTGCTGGGAGGCAGCCAGGACTGTGGGTTGTATTTCTCCTGAAAGAATCCCATATAATGAAGCACACTGAAAAATATGCAGAGAGACTGACAGCGGTGTTTATTTTATTCATGGCACTACATTTATTCTGAGAACTGAGAGAGGGGGAAAAAAAAAAAAAGCCCCGAACTGAGGAAAAAAAGGTATTTTTCTTAGAATAAACCCATAAAACCACAGAGGCCTAGAAGAGAAGGTCAGGAGACAGCAGATCACCAGGGCCACGCTGCCCCTGCCACGGGCAGTGGCTTTACAGCAAGAGCTGGAGCGTGTTGGGTACCGCAGCCTTGGGAGGGAGAGAGCCCATTTTTAGTTTTTGAGGAGGTGGGAAGCTGAAGGGGAGGATGAAAAATTGTATAAACCGTGTTTTATAAGCAAAGTTTTAAAGGTCCCTTAGCAGGCTTAAAAAAAAAAAAAAAAAAAAAAGGCTGAAGTTTGCTGACTACATTCCTTCCTTCCATGGAGGGAATGGGCCAGCGAAAACAACTGACCTCAACTGCTCAGCGAGCAGAACCCAGCCACCCGCTCCCTGCACTTCTGGGGGAACTGCAAACCTTAGAAAAGTTCATTTTTTAATTATCCTTCTGAAATGGTTTTGCTTACAGCTATTGCTAACATGACAACAGTTGAAAGAATATTCCTTTTTTCCCAGCAGCTTTCCATACGACAGAACTTTATATTCAGCTAATTTGGCTCCTTCCCTTGCAGAGTGTTTCTTTAGGTCTGCTACATGCAAGGGAAAGGTTTGGCTTTTTCTTCTTTTTTTTTTTTTTAAACAGGAACAATCATTTCGAGCCTCCCATCACCGGCTATAAACTCAGGGCAGGAGCACAGCTCTGCCCAGCCATCCGCAGCGGAACTAATAAATCCCCGCTCCTTGCAGCCTTGGTCTTCTCTTCCCAACCCTTCCCCACCTCAGCCCTCCCTCTGATCCTGACGGCCCTCCCGAGGTCCCCGTGCACACACCGAGCAGATCCAGCTCCTTGATGTCCTCCCAACCACCGCCTGAGCAGGAGGAAGCGAGCGCGATGCCAGGTCCCATCTGTGCAGAGAGAGGGATTTTTTTGTTTGGCCCGTCTCGCCGAGGAACCGGCCAAACTTCCTTGGCAATCCCTGCCTGGAGCACAGGAAATCTTTGGATTTACCGTCTCCACCGAGCTGCTGCTCCTCATGCCACGGGGGATAAGTCAGCGCTCGGCGAGATCTGCCTTGTTACTCCAGTTGGCAAAAAAAAAAATAATCAAGTTATTTACAGGGAGGGGAAAATAGGACAGAGCTCAAAGGCAAAAGCAGAGGAAACTGTGCTAAAAATACCTCACATACGACAGCATTCTCTTAATAGTTGTCTTGTATTTCTCTTCAGCTCAAAGGGGACTGGGGGAGACTTTGACAGGCTTTTTGCTAAATTTGAAATATTTCAGATCGTGCCAATTTCAGTGGTGACTTCTCAGCCTGGCAAAATGGCTTTGCAAGGTAGGGGTCAAAACATCCCCACACAGCTCGTTAAACGGCTGCTAGTTAGAGTTGCCAACTAACAATCCAGTAGTTTTCTGGGGCGTGTGTGCTTCTCCCAGGAAAATAACCCTGGGTGTAACAACTGAGTGTGTAACACACACAAAGGTCAGTGTTAATTGAGTAGCCCCACGCTCTTAGATTGCTCTCCTCACCCCCCCCAGATACACCCAGCCCTGGCTCTGCCAGAGGTACCCAGAGCCTTTTCCCTCTGTTTTGGATTGAAGATGCTTTCCGTGCAGTCAGGGACTGATCTCTAATAAAATGGATTGTTTTCCTACTGCCCGCTCCCCGCCTTTGGGCACAGCAACTTAGTCTTTTACCCTGTCTGCAAATTTCAAACATCTTCACTTCCCAATGATCTCCAAAGCACAGTCAGTGCAGCGAGTCCTTCAGGGGTAATCATTTGATCCCTCTGGAAAAGAAGGGCTTTAATTTGGTAACATTAATTTTGGCTTTGTGATTTACTATCAATATAAACCAGTTTTTGTTAATTAACCAAGGAAGTCACATTTATCTCCACCTTTATCCTACCATTTAAAATCAATATGGTTATTTAAATTGAGTGCAACCTCATTCAGGTTCCTTGTGCACAGACACAACCCTTTCCTTTTACCGCTGGACGTTGCTATTTCAGCCTTTGTTCCCAAAGAAAGGAACCAGAGTGTCTTAATTAAGACAACTCGCAATTAGAAAGAAAACAAAGCTTAATCCATATTAACAAAATTCTTAGAAATTAATGAAACTGCTTTTGTTTGGGAGAAATTCAGCCATTCCCTCTTTGAAAGCTACTTAGCCTAGAAATAAATAAATCTGCCAAACAAGAGTTAGGAAGGAACATCCCGAGCAACACCCGGCTCTTGGGATGGCAGCGTGTCCTACAGCACCCACCCCAAGTCTGCCACCTTCTGGACTTGAACACTCCAGCTCCAGAAACCTTCAGCACAACATAATTATCACTAATTGCCAGGGAGAGGCCAGTCAAGGATCTTTTTCTCCAGATAGAAAGTTACAACTGGCAGTGTTGATTCTGCCAGATGGTCTGCAAACAGAGGCAAAAGAGAAAATGAATTGCTTCCCTTGTTTAGGACATTATCTTACAGGCCTGGCCAGGTCACCGTTGGGGTGGTTTCAGTAAAACCCCCCCCGAAACTCCAATTCTGGGTCTCTGAGGGCTGGAACACACCCCAGGAGGTGACAGGGCCGCTCCAGAGGTGACAGTGCTCTGCAGCCACGTACACGGGACACTCAGCACCGTGCCCTCAGCTGCACTGCTCTATTTGGCAAAAGAAACCTCTGAAGTGCTAATGCTCCCAATCTTTGTTTTCTGACCCACTTTAAAGCAGAATGAGGTGCCCTGTACTTCAGACTGATGGAGATGTGTGTGATTTTGAAGCATTTTCATACCACATTCATACTACTGCTTGTAAAGCGCTTCATTTGAGAAAATTAACTTGAATTTTGTCTAGGCATTTAGAATTCCAAGAGACATGGCTGTAGACGTGCAGGTCAGAGCTGGTCTGTCGTTAAGGCACAAAACTGTACAAGCCAACTCATTTTTCCCATTCACTTAAAAACCAGAAGACAGCACAGCATGGAGCAGTCTGGATTCGTGTTTATTGAAGCCAGTAATTAAAGACGTCCTCGTTTTGCCAGCACTAGAAAGCAAGGTTCCACATGACTGCATACTGCACCTGCTTAAAGCCATACAACTGGACTAAGGTTGGTTTCATACATTTGCAGTCCTAATTGTAAGTTGGAAAAAAAAATAAAAACCCAATAAACTTAGTATACAGGACAGTGAACTTTCATTTACAGCATGTATATTGTTAAGTTCATGATGTACAGAGCAGTCACTTTCAATGTAGTTAAATTAAATAAAATATGAAATTCTGTTCAGTTTAAACAGGTTTTTTTTTTAAAATGCCAATAAAAAAAAAAGTGCAAACTTAAAATCAAGCAGCATAACCACAGCATTTTTATGGAGGGCCAATCTTTAAACTTGTCTATTTGCTTCAAGTCGAACATTTCATCTTTTGTTTTCTTAGTTTAAACATGAACAGCAGATGCAGTCACTATAATGCATATAAATATAGTCATATAATAGTTTAAACAGTCTACCATACAAGTGTATCCGCAAAGAAAATGAAGTTTCACTTGAAAAAAAAAAAAAAAGGTAAAGGCTGTTTGCAATTTGGCCTTTGGTTCCAATGCTTGAAGACACCAGAATAACAACTGTGCAGCTCACCAAAGTGCAGGGACTTCGGCAACCACGGGATGCTACATCACTTCACCCCCCTCCCCACAAACTAGGAGCATTCACTTGCGCTTACAAACCGCAATCTCTTCCTCTTTTGTCAGAAGCATCTCTCTGCAAAGCTGCCAAGCTACCACGAGGCAGCAGTTCGATCAATTGTAGGAGATTTTAACAGTTTTATTGAACTGGGAAGTACTTCAGTTTTAAGTTTTAGCCGTATTGCTAGAGAAAGTGCTTATCAGGTTAGATGACAATAAAAATGCAGTTTCAAGACTGAGGTTTTCAAACCAGACACTTTTTCAATTTTCCTGTGGAGCTTTTGCTGTTTCAGGCTCCGATCTCCGTTCTGGGTGTCAGGAGGACAGTGTGTCACTACTTCTGGTGTGGTAACTTCCCACTGGCACCCGTGACACCAGGAGGTACATCCACGGCACCCATCCACAGTCCTAGTCCAACTGGGAGCTAAACAACTGTGTAACTTCAGGTCATACCGTTTATTTTTTTTAAAAAAAGTAAAAAACGGAAAAAATATAATATTTTCGACAAAAAAAAAACTGGCACAAATAACATACTCATGTTAATGTTTGTCAAAGAGGCAAGTAAATACTCTTAGCTTTCTAGATAACGTTTAGACAGACTTACAAGAACAGCCCCTTGATGTAACAGAGGATTTGGAGTTAACATCCAGTACTGTGTTAGTGGTCAATCTAATCCTGTATATTTAAGTAACAATATATATTAGGGCAGCTATATCCAGACATCAGATTTAGTACAACAAGTTCATAGCAATAAAAAGTAAACTCTGCATAATTCAAATTGTGGTTTTTTTCCCTTCAGCGTTAAGAGCACAGAATATGCTTGGTATTTTTTTTCATTTCTGGTAGTGTGTACATGTAAAACAAGCAATACCGTGTATAAAATCAAAGTGCCATTTCAGTCACCAGAGCAGTTGAGTTTTGTTTTTGTTTTCCAGAAGGATGGTTTGACGTGACCACGGCCAGAGCTCCGTTAGAGCGACGGGGACAACCACAACCCTTCTTTCCAAATGAAATGCTACATGAAACGGAAACAAGACCAAGTCCTGGTGTTCACCACGTGCACATTCACACTCTGTAGGTCAGAATTGGAGTTGGCTGCACCTGCAGCAGTTGTGGTTGGAACTAGGGCCTTGAAAGTTTGTGGTTTTTTTTTTTTTTAAAAACCTCCACAGGTGTAAGGCAGGATTGCTTTTAGCTTGGTAGCTAATAGTTACAAAAAAGTAAGAAAAAAAAATACTGAGTGTGTTCTGTAGCACATTTCATTCTGGGAAAAGGATACGTCACCCACCATTCTTCATAGGCTAGCCTCTTGGCATTAAAAAAAAAAAAAAAAAGGCAGAAGCTATCAGAAAACAGGATTTAAAATTAAATACAAATCGCCAAACTACTGATTTTAAAATAAAACCAAACAGTGACTGTTTGTACTACAGTGCACAATAAGTTCAAGCACCTTCTAAAGACACGTCACACACTGTGCCAGGCACTTGGATCTAAACAAGTTATAGTTTCTCCCTTTGTCAGCTACACCAGAAAGGGCACCCACGCTCTTCGACTGCTTTTAAAAACTAAAACAAGATTTATATTATAACAAGAATAAATTCCCATGATGCTTAGTGTTTGGCCTGGAATTCTCCAACGTAAAGTAGTCTTTTTAAAACAGTGATTATTCCCCTCCCCGTGTGAGCCACAGGGTGTAACGACATCGCTCCTCTCCAGCCAACCCCACATTCTAGTTTCTCCCTGCCCCAAATCCCTTTCCCCTTTGAGGGCTCCATTCCCCACCTGGGCCTCTTTCACCCCATTAATGCTCCGCTTCACCACCACCACCACCCCCTCCAAGGACACAACGCGTTTGCAAACCTACAAGTAGCCAATTCCAGTCACTCTGCAAGAGGATTTCACTTCTCTCTCTCCCCCCTCGTGTGCAGTCAGTAGTAGTATTTTAATAACAATTCTCCCATTTTGCTTCTCTGTGCTCTCGGCGACAGGAAACGCAGCTGCACCTCCCAACCCCAAAGAATTGCCCTATATAAACTCTAAATGGTTATCGGATACAGAGGGATTTTATATGCAAACTTCCTGAATGTGCACTTTTTACTGGGACAAGGCAATGATGTAGTAAAGCTCATTTCCCCTGCCCCAAGAAAACTGATAGCATCTGCCATAGCAGAAAATTCCTGGTCTTATCAGATCAATATACATAGTTATTTGGTCATTTACATATGCGGGTTTTTATGCGCTATCAAGCTTCGTTCTCTGTTGGAGAGGTTGTTGATACCATAGAGTCTGGCTTGCGGGTCATCCTGTCCAACTCCTCCTGAACGTTCGTCAAAACTGTTTTTTGTCCTAAAAAAAACCCCAAAAAGGACAAGGTTAAAGCCATCTCATTTCCATGAGACGTTTTAACCAATGAGTACAATCACTCTTAGATGACAATACATGATTTAATTTCTCATTATTTCCCCACCTACACAGCACAAGGTAACATCTGTGTAAAGACTGAGAAACACTCGGGTTTGACTCACTTTACAGAAATGAAATGCTGAATTTTATACCAGCACAAAGCACAAAAATATCTGCGATACGTTTCACAGCAACTAACATTTTAAAAACAACCGTGTTCAGAACTTTATATAAAAATCCACTGTACCTGTCTCTGTTAGCAGCACTGAGAGCAAAGGCTTCATTTAAACCCAGCTTTTAACCACAAGTTTTCCAAGTTGGGCAGAGCACCTGCTCACAACTCCCATTTCTTGGGTCACGCTGATACTTGCCGCGTTTGAATATTGAACAACTACCAGGAAGAGGGCTTTTATGTCTGCAGACAATGTTTCCCTCAAAAAAAGGGGACAGGAATTGCATATTCATGTAATCTCGCTGAGCAGTCCTTTCAAAGGGCTTCAATTGGAAACAGACACACCGGAGCATTTCATGGAAAGGCGGATCTTACATTTTTATATTAAGACTCAAAACTTTGTAACAATTCTCTCACTGAACCATCAGTTTGATTCTCTCTTTCTGAAAATTATAAACCCACAGACAAATTAATCACTAAAATTGGAAGGATATGTTCTAATGCTTAGAGCATACAAGCATTTAAGATTAAAAAGCTGTATTTTTAGACAAAAAAGTAGATTATATAACCATGTACAGCTTCCTTACATAGCCAAAGAATTTAACAAGCATCTGTTTTCCAGCTCAAATGTGTGTGAAATATTAGGTGGATTTTTTCCAGGGTACATGCTGAAAACATTAAGAAGGCAAGATTGGACTGTTGGAGATTTAAGAGGTTATGTCTTTGTACTTTGGAAAAAATCAAGTTAAAAGGTTACCTTGAATCACTAGAAGGGTTTTAGATTTAAGCACTAGCCATTGGCCACAGAACTCTTGCTATCAGCTACCCAATGGATACGTATTTGAATAAAATTTAAAAATTAGTACGTTAACTGTAATATAACTTACAACAGAGAACACTTTACATATAAACTTGTGGTACCTTGGAGTTAAAAAAAAGGTAAAACAATAAAAACCACACAAAATTCTTGCTCAAACAAAAATAGGTCTAAACAAAAACAGGTTCGTTGGGTTGGGTTTTTAAAACAATAAAAACCACACAAAATTCTTGCAGAAACAAAAATAGGTCTAAACAAAAACTGGTTTGTTGGGTTGGGTTTTCCAGGGTACATGCTGAAAACATTAAGAAGGCAAGATTGGACTGTTGGAGATTTAAGAGGTTATGTCTTTGTACTTTGGAAAAAATCAAGTTAAAAGGTTACCTTGAATCACTAGAAGGGTTTTAGATTTAAGCACTAGCCATTGGCCACAGAACTCTTGCTATCAGCTACCCAATGGATACGTATTTGAATAAAATTTAAAAATTAGTACGTTAACTGTAATATAACTTACAACAGAGAACACTTTACATATAAACTTGTGGTACCTTGGAGTTAAAAAAAAGGTAAAACAATAAAAACCACACAAAATTCTTGCTCAAACAAAAATAGGTCTAAACAAAAACAGGTTCGTTGGGTTGGGTTTTTTTGTGTTTTTTGTTTTTAACTAGATGAACTGGGTGCCTAAACCTCCAAAATAACACCAGTAACACCCAGCAGCTGCCTCCTGCAACCACCTCAGCCCGGGCAGGAAAAACAGAGCCAAGGGGTTCAACGATCCGTGGGTTTATCCACCCCCTTCCCCACCACCACGGGTGAGCACCGTTCAAAGGAGAAGAAATACAAGGGGCTGTTCTTAAGAAAATAAAAACTTCCTCTCTGTTCTGAAATAAATTGATGCTTGCTTACACCTTCCCAACAAAAACACCATCAGGGATGGGAACGGCTTTAGTCAATTAGATGTGTGCTACACAATTAGATGTGTGCTACACAATTAGATGTGTGCTACACAATTAGATGTATTCTCTTCCCAGGGATCCCAACTTCTGTTTACTGCACAGGAACAGAAGGGTGAAAGCAAATCTTAGAAGTTGCAAGAATCTTATAGTGGATAGAAACGGAATAACTTTTTAAATCTATAAATCCACACAAAGAAAAAGAAATAGCTACCACAGAATCCACCAACTGAAGTTCTTTGAAATATCATGGTCTGCACAGGGAAGAACATCCAGAAACACAAAGGCAAAGGAGATGGGTGAGGAACTGCAGGGCCTGGGCCTCCCACTGCCCTCCAGGCACCAGGCACCGCTCATGTGGCATCACCAGAGCATTGGGTGTGATTACACACGTCTGGGATCAGGAGTAGTTCATCTATCAATAGTTTAATAGGGAAATAATTCTGAAAGGAAAGCTCCTGAACATTAAGTGTGATGGGAATGGCAATATCAAAAAGAAACAGTTAAATAATCAGAATAGTAGTTTCTAATATTGGGTTTCCCAAGGAGTTTTGTTCAGGTACCAAGTATTTTGATGGGTTTCTTTTATTTTCACCTAAACTCGTGCAATTATTTATCAGTAAATCCCTCAGCCAATGCAGTCACGGGCACAAACACAGAACGAACCCACCCAATCAGTGTTATCAGCTGTGTTGGATCACAATCAAATACTAAATAATTAATGAGGGAGTAACTTCAAGGTGTCATAAGACGCAATAATTCATTTAACCTTGAACTCTGGAGAGATTTCAATAGTTTGACTGGAAACTACAATCCAAACCCAATAAACGGCATTTCCTTCAAGCAACAGTTCCGTGTTAAGAAAGGAAGGAATTCTAAAGTTTTAAAAAAAATGTAAATCAGCACTTCCTGAACATGATCAAAGCTCAAATGGTATTTCTATCCCAGCAGTGTAACTTCACTCAAAGAATCAAGTTCTAAGAGGCTTAACAGAAGCCCTGGAGTTGTGAAGTTACAGCCTTTTAGCTCTTTTTGTTTTTTAAAGACCACACACTTTGGCACTGCCACGGGTCGAGGTGTCACCTCACTGCCCAGTGTAAAGGATACACATGGTTAGACCCACACGGGCCAAATGAAATATTAAGATGCACAAACCAGCCTGAGCCCAGTACCTGATTTCTTGGCTGTGCTCTGCACTCCTCCAGCACCAGGACTCCCGGGAGAACCAGTCTTTTTGCTCAGGAGACTGTTAAAGAAACTGGCCAAGACACCTTCGCTTGCAGCATTATCTAAAAAAACAAATATATAGAGAGATCACTGAGTTGTTATTGCTGGTAAATGACAGAACTTATTTTTTTACATACATACGTAACTCCTACCCATCAAGGAAATAAACCTCCAACATGAGAGAGTCTCTCCCTGTTCAATTTAAAGACACTTGTCCTTTGCACTCTTTGGCAAAGCCAGAGATACCTGAAAGCACATTACTGCTCTTCTGCAATAAGGGGGGGTGCCACAAAATTGTAATCCAAATATTTGAAAAATAACAATATTTGGGGAAAAAAAAAAAAGGGAGAAAAATCAAACCTAAAGCTACATCATGAATTCATTCCTGTTACTAAACAAGCTATACCGCTAGTGAATAAAACCCAAAATCTTTCTACAAAAGAGGATTATTTTTTTTAAGGGAAATAACACATGATAAAAAACAGTAAAATGCTTATTCATACTTTTAATATTTGGATCTGGTTTCTTAACTGATGTTATTGGTGAGGCACTGGGTACGTTGGCGGGACCAGCTCTGCCTTGAGTCCTTGGGGATCCTGCAGGGCCTCTTGCAGGAGATTCCTGAAAAAAAGTCCAAATCACACAAATCAGAGAAGGGCTTAAATGGATTAGTTACATAGAGCAAGTGTAACATAACACATTAATTACTTTTTAAGCCTTTATACTGGCACTGTCGTGTATGCAAATTGGGGAAAACACCCCAATATTTTGGGCCTGTGTCTCCACCAAGAGAAAGGATCTCTGCAGGAAATTTTCAGTTCAATAATCACCAGATATTTCTATGCTTCCACAGCGAATCAGAATGAAGTAATTTGTACGTAACACTTTAAATATTGCCACTTTTTTGAATTTACTCTCTGCAGTTTGGGGAGACTGTGTATTTTACATTTCCAAAAGGAACCTCTGCGGGTCAGAATCACTCCCTCTCCCCGAGGAGGAGACAAACCACCCCCCAACTCCTCTCTTGGATCTACTTACTGATGCTCTTGTCGGCGTTGCTGGCTGTTTGGCAAGGAATGACTGCAAAACAACAGATTGAGAACATTAAATATATTTCAGAAACTATAAAGGAATAAAATACAGAGAAGCTGACTAACCATTAATTTATTTGATAATTTTTTTCTGGTATTTACAGGCTTCCTCTTTGGTATTTACATACTCCCAGACTTCACCACTAGAGGACAGAGTTAAAATGAGGGAATGAGCTTCAGCCCTTTGTCTCTCAGCCCTTCCAGAAGTAGAGGCCAGACCCACAGACACCCAGCTCTGTGACCTCTACGGTATTTATCATCAGCTGGGCAGGAAAATGTTATTAGGTGTTTTAAACAAGAGCAGTAAAAAGAAAATCCAAACCCAAGATGCAGCAAAGCCAAATCTGACACCTTAAAAGTCTTTTAAGCCTCTGGCTGTAAGAAAACTGCAGTGCTGAGATGTGATGTTTTAAAAGTATTTGTATTTTACACATCAACGCATCCACGTTGTGAAATTTCAAGTTAAATTCTTGCACTTCTCCCTTGAAATTTAAGTTATTTCTGTTCGCAGCATATTTTCCTTCCAACTTCACAAGATAAGTGGCTGTACTTTCTACTAGTGTTTGTTAAAAGAAGGAAAAGTCTTATTTCACATTTACAGCTGAATTTGGAAAGCTGAAAAGTGGTTTAAATGAGGAATTAAAAACTGAAGGCAACAACAGTGGAGAGCTTAATGTGCTCGTATTCACTAAGGACGTATTTTCCTTCTTCCATTCTTACCTGCTGCTTCATAAGAAATACTTGTTCATCTTCTGCTGCCAGCTCTTTGTCATGGACTAGCTGTTGAACAAAATACTTTGTTATTTGAAGTAAAAGCTGAAATTACTGTAACTGGTTTTGTTTTGATGATCAAAAGGGGAAAAAAAACCCCACAATAAAAGGGCAAATCTGTAATACTATTCTTTACTTTTTAAAAACCCCCACAAACTTTCATTTTTAAGAGTAACATTAAAGTTGTAATAAAAAAACCACTAAGTATGGTAAGCAAAGGAGCATGGTAAGGAGCATGGTAAGGAGCATTGATTTCCAAATACTGGGGCTTGAGCTAAAACCATTAAGTATGTAAGAAAGTTGTGAAAGAACACTTCCAATATAGACTATAATGTATTTTCATTTACAATTTTCCATATTATCCATTGTACATATATCCTATTCCCATGTGCCTATAGTCACAAAATCAGCAATGTACAGAATTTATATGCATTATTTACTACTCTTGCCTTACATGAAGAAATCTGTCATTAATAACATGTTAATGCAATAACAATATACTGTCTTCTTTTACAAGATTTGCCTTTGCATGGGAACCTCAACGCCATGTGTGCACATATGGAAATTGGTCAAGTCCTACAACAATATTCTCCTTTTTTGAAAAGTGTTTTTGCCCCCCACATGCAAAAAAGTTCACCTGAAATGGTTATTCTTGGACCACCTTTCATTCACAAAGGCCTCTGGTGTTTGTTTGCAGTTATTTTAAATCATTGGAAAATGAAAGCCTGATGCTTCACGCATTTGGATACAACAAAAATTAAATTTAGATTTGGAGTTCTTCAATAGTAATGATTATTAGTAGCCAAGCAAACTGCATTGATTTGTCAGGAGGCAGGGAAGAATTTCCCCTTTTTTACCTTTCTTACAGGAGGTTTTACAATGAAGTCCTCGTACGCATCTTCTGGTTTCACTGTCGTGAAGTTTTCATGTAAGATGGCGATTTTCTTTTCGTTGTCCCAACCAGCAGGTCTGTAACGAGAAGGAAAGCTTTGCCTTTTCACTCACAAAAAACACTTCTACAGAGACCATTTCTTTACTGCCCCTTATCTGAATAAGGCAATTATAGGTCAGTCCTAATCCTCAGCTCAATTCCACAGACACTAAAAAGCCAGTGTTTATACTCAGTGTCAAGTAACCCAAGTAACATGCACTAAGCTGATTTTTTAATTCAGGATTTCAGGATACACACTATAAGCTTTTGAAAACACAAATCATTCAAGTTATTTATATAAATAAGTTATATGAAGTGTAGTGCTTAATAGAAAACAAGCTGAAATCTTGCTTATACAATTGACTTACATAAAAACTGCATCCTTCTCTACCACTAAGGCAGGTGTGGTAAACTGGAAACCATATGTTTTATGTACAATGTACTTATACAACAGATCAAGGTTCTTTTCCTCCTTAACCGATGTATAAATCAAGGCAGCCCCATCTGATTACTTATTTAAGGAAAACGCTGTAAGATACAGTTTTTCAATTATATTAAGAATTCCAAACCAGGACCTAATGGCCCCACATCTACTGGATGTAATTTTGAGGAGCAGTCGAAGGCAGAAGCGATGGCCATTCAGAATTCAGGGAGAGGAAGGGGGTCCAAGAGGAGAAGATTCATGATACTTTCCTTTGACATACACAAGTTGCCTTCCCTCCCTGGGCACTTAACTTTGAAAAAGTCAAAAAACTTGAGGTACAGCTGAGATCTCATGTTTATGTGGAAACTGCAAGTTCTGAGGGAAAATCTAGCAAAAGCACCTCACAAAGTGCAAGACAAGTCCTTTGTAAAGGAAAAGCTCCAAATCCCATGCAAAATTTAAAATCTATAATAAAGTTTTACATATCTCTCACCATTTTCAAAACAAGTGCTACACAGTAAATACCTAAATACCAAGCAATCTTGAAGTGCAATTTCTCAGATTAACGTTATATGCAATTCAACACCAAAAGGTGTTTCCCTGGTTTCCATCTCTCTGGAGCAGGAAAGGATACACTGTAAGCAGAATCTACGGATGTGTGACTGAATGAAGTCGAAGTGTTCTTCTCTGTAATCGTGCTCCTTCTCTAATACACTCACCGCGTCGCACTGGAGGGAAGGCAGGAAAACAAAACCAGAAAAACCCAGTCATTTACTTCCAGCACATCTTAAAACTTTTTCCTTAATACCCACACATCATATTTACTTCGGGCCTTCAGCTTTAAAATGTCACTGATAAACCAAAAGATAAAGTAATTAACATGTAATTGATAAGGTTATTACTCTTCTGCAAAATTAAAAATTGATACTGGTGGCAGAAACTTAGTTTTTAAAATAAATCCCCTTACTAGTAATCCAGACCTCGTTTTGTACATCCATACAAAGCATGTCTTCTAAAAGAGAAGTAATTCAATTTTTCCCTAGCAGCAAAAGGAGCTAGAAACTCACTTTTGTACAAACCACCAGCACAGGAATCCCCAGGTTGTGAGTCAGCACGTTTTCTCCAAGCGGCAAAGAAACGTGTTCATCCTCTTGGCCAGACGAAGGGCCTCGTCGCTGCGGTGACCCCTGGTAGCCTTCTTCAGGTTCTACATACTCTTGAAACTCCTTGATAACTATTAAGAGAGAGATCTTCTTAAGGTACAACGAAGGAACTGGTTCTTCTTTTTAAATCATAATTAATCTATGGTTAACTAGATATCTCAAGGTTTTTCTCCTTTTATAACAAGTCACTACATGAGAACAGAACACAAGCTTAAGCCTTGTTGTCCCTTCAAACAAGAGTTCTCCAAAATTTACAGCATGGAAAAGCGCAATTTGGAGCTATTACAGATACTCCAAAGTAGCTGCAAGAGCTACAGAATGCACAAATGCACCTTCCTCAACTCAACCCTTTTCGTTCCAGGGGAGCTGACAACAGAAAGTGGAGATGCAGTTTAGCAACCCAGCCTCTGCTCAGGGCAATCTGTACCTGCTCTTGGAAGACAGCACGGTGAAAACATCAATGGGCACAGAAACCACCCAGCTGAAACAGCCACCCTTTCTTATAAACCATTACTCAAGTTTCTATTACTCTACATTTCTGTTGCAGGAGTCCAGTGCTAGAAATATAAAAAATACACTGCATAAATACAGACTCAAGGACTTCTAAATGTTATCTGAAGAAACTCGGTTATCGTCTGGAAAAAGACAGTGGAGTCCAGAGGAAATGAGATGCTTTCTATGCTTTCAGTATTTTAACGTTATGGTAACAATGAGTGTTCCAGTAATACTGAATGCTGGCAAATACTGAAGTGCTTATCAAATACTATTATTTCTGGGTGCTGTGACCCCACACACGCTCATCAAACCCAGGCTGCAACTTTCATCTGCAAAAATGATGTAAAAGGTGGAAGCCACAGAGCAGACAAACCTGGGTCCCGGCTGTCCCCGTGCCCTGGCACAGCAGGGCTTCCCAACGGCCAGGGCTGTCCCTCCTGTGACACCCCCACCTGGAGCCTCCATCCCCACCAAGGAGCCCATGGGTTGCCCCCGTGAAGGCATCTTTATTTCAGAGTTGGGGGGAGCTGGGGCTGGACGTACGGTGAGGAGATCTCTCTGAGAAAGCTCCCCATCTCCAGAGCATTCACAAAGAGAACGTTGTTCATCCATCCATCCATGGGCCAGGGGAGGAACTGCCACTCTGCTGCAGGGCAGCCGAGGCTGCTGAGGCTTAGGAAGTGGTAAAGCCTCAGAAAAGTACGTAATACAGATCTTGTAAAGAGAAGGCACTGCAGCTTTTCAGAACAGAACCCTTCCTGCCACAGAACGGGCACGTGGAAGGAAGAGCAAATCAGAAGAACACTTCTGTTCAAAGCTGCACTGTCTACAGTTATTATTAGAAGTATGTGTGATTCTTGTGAAAAACTCTTTTCTTTCTCTAGTCCAGAAAAAGGCTTTAAAAACTCCGTCAAAAAGACCCTAAGACGTTCAACCATCAATTCAACACATCCCAAGGTCCAAGGAAATAGAAAAGAAACTGGGATGCAGCTGCTTCTAAACCTGGGGAGGCAGTGCCTTCTGGTGGAGAGGAAGCAGCGCTGCTTTCAGAGATGCTTTCCTCCAGTACCTTTCCATACTCAACAACTAGAAATCAAAATTCCATTATATATTCTGCACATTAGGTACATTTACTAATTGTCTCACAGAAAGCAAATTAATTCCAGAGCATTTAACTGGAAAAAGGTTTAAAGTCTGACTCTTCCTAGCTCAGGATAGAAAAAACCTATTGAAGTATATTATCAGCAGATAGAAAGAGCACCATTTATGCCCAGTACAATCATTCAGATAAGCCTCTCTGGCTTAATCAGATGTAAAAGAGTATTTGACAACACTGTTCTCAGTCTGCTACAGCACTGTAATCAGACAACAGTAGTTTCCTAGGCTTTGTTCACATCAAAGCAGAGAAATCTTTACCAAGATATCTATTAGTGTAAACCCCCTCAAACTTGGGCAAGGAAAGCCTCTCTTGAGAACAGTAAGTCTCTGGCAGTATCACACAAACTCAAGACACCCCAAGAATTTTACTAATAGAAATGACAGCAAATGCAACATAGAAACCTCAGAAATGTGGTGGCACATTGTCACAAACTCCTGCTGCCATTCATTTGACAACTCAGTAATGCTCTGCTACCTGTCACTAAGATTGAGTACTAGGAATGGCCTGACACTAGAAAAATTATCAACAGGTCATGGTATGTCATAAAAATCACACCTCCACTGCAGCGTGCTAATCTATCTACCAAACTTGTGGGTTATCTAGGTAAAAACCCTTTTATTTAGCCTTTTGCTAAATAAATGAAAGAGCAAACAAATGCAGGTTCCCAGTTCAGTGTCTGGGTCTCATGTTACTGCTCGTTTACACAAGCTCCCGGAAGCCAACTAGAACAAGAGTGGAGGTACCTTCATGTCACAGGAGCAACTGAGCCAAGTACCACCAAGAAAGGGATTCACAATTAGTCTTAGGTTTGTCACAACAATATGACAATAAAAATAACAAAACAATCCTTGGTCCTGTTTAAGTGCAATAAGGAAATGGCAGACAAACCACAACTTACTGATCTGGATGGATCACAAAAGCACTCAACAGCAGAACAAGAAAAACACAGGAAACCTGAGACAATCGTTCCATATTTGCACTCAATTTCACAATCAATTTACACACTTTTAACCTTTTGGTGTGCTATCCTTACTGATCATAAATTTTAGTCTTGTGAAAAGAATTCCTAGGGCAAAGGAAGTTTTTTTTTTATCTTTTAGCTTAAGAATTCTTTCAGCTGTATGTCAGGAAAAAAAAAAAGAAAATGCAGAGAACTTCAAACTAATTCAGCTTGAATGGGACACTACTTAATTTTCAGAAAAGTGTTACTGTGTTTCACATCTTTAGCTTCCAACGCTCCAGAGACCATTAACAGAATAGCCATGTTACCAGCGTACTTCCTTTCTGCACTTCTTGATTCTTGATAGTTGTCTTTTCTGCTTTGCTGTCATAAACAGGGAGGCAAAATTTAGAACTTCCCTGAAATAAATATTCACATGTGTCCCGTATAAACAATGATTCGTCATAATCGAGATTGAATTAAAATGCAACATTTGAATTAACACTATTTATCTGAATCCACATTAATCAAGGTTTTAGCGAGGAATTTCCAGAGCAGCTCAGTGACAGGAGTGAGCGCAGACAAACAACGCTCTTGGGATACTCTAAATATTTCCATTTCTTTCAAGGCAGCCTGTTGCTTCCGTCTGTGTGTCCTGCCTCCCGTTCTGGGAGCTCTTTATCACAAGGGAAAGCCTCTCGTGTACCAGATGGAGCCCCACGTCACCCAGCCAAGAGCCAGGATCTCAAATAGCAAACACAAGACAAAAGGCTGGGTGGAGAGAGGCCACGAAAACCTTGGGAGCAGAGACAAGCAGTCCAAAGTTCATTCCACTGGGAATGGTAGGACAAATAAAGGATTTCTGGAAGCTGGTCACAAGATCCTAGTAATGGAGAAAGCAACCCAGCAGCACCTGAAAGGTGTGCTTATGGGATAATGCTAGAAAATGTCTTCTTGGGGTCAACAAGAAGGACTGGTTGCTGGTCACACTGGGGACCTGCACACTCCAGCCTGCACCCTCTTTCTAGGTTTTGACTCCCTACTTTGCATAAGCCCTTTATTATCCCAGTTTTTTCACAGCCAGGGTGTTACAACACAGCGATTCTCCATTTTTAAATGGTAGTTTATCTCAGGAAGATGAAAACTGTGCTGGTGTAGCTTTATTGATGGACTGTAGTCACAAGGCCTTCTTCATGCCCGTGTGCTCTGTGCTCTCCGAGCAGTTACACAGATATAATTTGCTCTTCAGAGAATTACAAGCTACGGTGGCCAACGCTTTGAGCACGGATCTGGCCTGGGGTCTTCTGCAAGAACTCAGAAGACAAGCATCTGAGATGACACACGTGTCCTACACGGAGCCCAAGAAAAGGAGAGAGAGGGAAGTTTGGGAGGGGAGACACTGAGGCCCCTGTTCTACTTGCAGACTGATGCAGGACCCAGTTTCACCTCTGGTTTTCATCACAGGATGGCCACGGAGTCCTGCAAACATGTGAACTGGGCAGCTCTCAAATTCTCCTTTTCCCTCAACTCTATTAAAGCACAACAGCAACCAGGAATTTCTACGCTAATTTAGAAATAAACGATTTAGAATAATATAGAAATCTCTAAGCCAATACTATTGGAATGCCTCAGTTCCCCAAACACGGTGCTAATGCTTTGCCGTAGCTATAACTGGCTCCTCCACACAGTACTGTCTCAGTAAAGGCTGAGAACACTTCTCTTTCCAAAAGTAAGATTTAAATGCACAAATCCTGCATTTACTTGGATTGCCACAAAATTTGGTGTGTCTCGGGAAGTGCAAATTGTGTCAGCTAGTGTATTTTGAGACTAGAACTGCCTTTCCATCTCCCATTCCCAAAAAAATCTCTCACATGTACAAAAAAACCCCAAACTTTTTCCCTTAAAAGTTGTCAGGTTGTTTGTTGTTTTTTTTTAATATAACCTGGTGATCACAGCCAGGTGGTGTCAATCTTTAAGTTTAAAGTCTGGGTGGCACGCTGTAGGCACTAGCCCTTTGGGAAAGCAGTATTTAGCACTCAGAAGGGAGATGAGCTCTCCAAATCTATCCAAACCCTCACATGCCAAACACATTACACTGCTCCCTAAAGTGAGTGTAAGGCAGCGACCAGACACTCTTTGCAAGGTTTAAACTCTGCAGCACAGCAGCCACTCCCCCTGAGCAAAAGCAGCACCCAGCAAGGATGAGGGGGAATCTACACTTTCAGCTGAAAAGGAATGCATGTTGCTAAGGTCTTTTCCACCCAAGGAATTTATTTTGGAGTAATTCAATATGAAAACAGAAAAAAAGTCTCAACATTCAGAACTATTTTAGGAAAGAAAAGAAGCTGCAGGAAACAATACTGCAGCGATGACTGCTTGCCAAGTGCCACATTCTTTCCTGACACGGATATGCCAGGAAAGAAAGTTAATTTACACAACGTTCCTGAAGTCAGAGGGTAGGGGTGGCTGTAGTGAGAGACAACCACATGTACCAGCAGCACAGTCCCAGGCTCGGGGAAAAACAGGGGCAGAGAGAGCTCCTGGAAGACAAGCCCTGCACAGGAACGGGACCTGGCTTAGACAGACTGCTCACTTCATTACTGGATTCTGTCACAATTTTAAAAAGTGTGATTCTGTATGGAGTTAGTTTTTTAAAAATTGGCCTTTTAAAAATCAAATTATCAAAGTCTCATTACTGCAAGGGATTTAGACCCTTAATTCACCTGGTGATTCGTTAGCACAGCAAAACTGGAAGAGCTGTTTAAAGCCAACTAGAGTCTACTTGAATTAGAGCCATAATCACAACTTCAGAGTAATTCTTATCCAACCCATTCTCAAAATGCTAATCTGAAGAAATTTATCAGTGTGATAAGAAAGGTGTGAGAGCTATTTTTTTTTTAAAAAGAGACAAGAATGTATAGGTGCCAAAAGACTTACACTTCTGTTCCATGTCTCTCATCTCTTCTGGAGGAATTTTCATC